ATTATTTTTATTATTGTTATTGTTGTCATTATTGTTGTTGTTGATATCAGGATAGGGAGTATTTATAATGTCGTTATCTTGCTCCATTTGATCTTGACTATCTAATTCATCATTATTTTGTCTGTTGTTAGTTTTTTCTAAGTTGAGATATCTTTCTACTTTTGTAATTCTTTGTGTCAAGTTGTTAAGTACTTCTATTGCGTGAGACATCTGTGCTTGCATTTCTGTCATTTGTTTAGATAACGTACTGAGAAAATTATTATTATTATTATTGAAGAGGTTGTGTTCTTCTTGCTGTTGTTGTTGGTATATGAAATTCTTTGTTGTTTGATTTAATTTTAATACTTTGGCATAGGATGGGTCAAGTTTCTTTTGAATTCTGTTAAAAGCTGTATGATTGTGTCATTTCCATATATTATCAAATTTATCCATTCTTTTTTGTAATTTCTGAGTTTGTACTGAAGTGCGAAGTGTAATAGGACATTCTTTGATCAGGTATCCAGGATCGTGGCAACATCGGTATATTTTAATTTTGATATCTAGTAAATTAATTATAAAGTTATCTATAGTCTATGTATGTCCTATCGCATAATTTTTTATTTCTTCAGATTCGAATGCTACTATAGCCATCCTTTTACGAGCGTAAAAGGTATTGCGAGGAACGTAACAAGTTTATGCTCCAATTTAATTTAATCCATTATATAATTCTACTGGGGTCATTTCAGGAGGAATGCCAATTACCCTAACTACATGTTCACCCCTGTTTTTTAATTGTTCTGCAGTAAACCCTGGTGGTGTAACTCTAACTACTTCTTCTCCAATGATTTGTGATCAAGATTTGAGAAAATTGTTTACATCTTCTCGTTCTACAAATGTGACATGTACTTTTTGTCACATATCTGCCAAATTTGTAATGATTGACTCCACTTTATCATATCTGTACTCAATTTCAGCTTTCAATTTCTATTTTTTTAAATTTATAGGTAAATCTCAGATAATAACTCGTTTATGCATATACTTCTTACTTTTTGTTTGTCTGTTGAGTACTTTTTCTTCTAATTTGAACGTTTCTTTGTTATCATTTTGAAATTCAAGATCAAGAATCTTTTTTAATTCTTCCTTTTTATTGAAATAAATTGCGATACAACTTTCATTTGTTTTTTTCTTTAATTCGACTTTGATAAAGGTACATTCTACTTTTTCTTTTAGTTCTTGTGTGAACCAAACTAATTTTTGACCAATATTTTTTCTAATGAATTTGGATATCGGAACTCTTGCTCTATATCATTTAAGGCTTACATTTTTCCTCCATTCTGCATGTTCAAATTCTTCACTTCCAACAGAATAAACTGAATGGATGTCTTCATTATCTAAAAGTTTCCTTTCCTCTTTTTCCTTTTTCTTTGCCATATTTTGTATTTCTATATCACTGGTTTCCTCAGTTTGACTAAGTCTTTTTTTCA